AAAGAATTTTACCAAGAACACCACCTAGATTCCAACATTTTGCTGTATTTACTTAACCAAAAAAACCAAACCCATTGCCATTGAGTTGATTCTGACTCACATAATGACTCTATAGGACAGAGAAAACTGCCCCATAGGATTTCTAAGGAGCGGCTGGTGGATTTAAACTGCTGACCTTTTGGTTAGCAGCCAAGCTCTTAACCACTGTGCCACTAGGGCTTAATCACATATTTATCCCTCAATTCATCCCTCTATCCATCCATTAATCCGTTTTAATTTTTAATTGATTTCAAGAACAGTTAATAAAACAACTTTCTTGAGATTTAGTTCACATGCTATAAAACGCACCCATTTAATTGTACAGTTAGATGAGTTTTGATAAATTTAACGTACTCGTGTAACCATCACCATAGTCAAGATAAAGATCGATTTTACCACCTATGAAAGGTTCTCTGTACCCTATTCCAGTCAATTCCTTCCAACCGTAACTCCAGGCAACCAGTAATATGCTTTTTGTTACTGTAGATTAGATTTTTCTTTTCTAGAATTTCATAGAAATGGAATCATACAGTACATACTCTCTTGTGTCTGATTTATTAGAATGAGGCTTTTTATTTTTATTTATGTTATGTGCATCAATTAAAAAAAAAAAAAACATTGCCGTCAAGTTGATTCCGACTCATAGCTACCCCATAGGACAAAGTAGAACTGCCCCACAGTGTTTCCAAGGAACCGCTGGTGGATTCAAACTGCTCACCTTTTGGTTAGCAGCCGGACTCTTTAACTATTGTACCTAACCAGGGATCCACATGTGCAGCAGTAGTTCATTCTTTTTTATTTATTTTATTTTTTATTGTGGTAAAATATACGTAACAAAAAATTTGCCATTGTAACCATTTTTAAGTGTACAATTTAGAGACGTTAATTATATTCACAATGTTGTGCAACCATCACCACTGTTTGTTTCCAAAACTTTTTGATCACCTCAAACAGACACTCTGTACCCGGTAAGCATTAACTCTCCATAACTCCCTTCCCCCAGGCCATGGTAACCGATAGTCTACTTTCTGTCTCTACTTTCTGTCTGTACGCATTTGCTTATTCTAGAGATTTCATATAAGTGGGATCATACAATATTTTTCCTGTTGTGTCTGACTTATTTCATTTAGCATAATGTTTTTAAGGTTCATCCGTGTTGTAGCACATTTCAGTACTTCATTCCGTTTTATGGCTGAATAATATTCCATTGTATGTGTATATCACGTTTTGTTTATTCATTCGTCTCTTGATGGACACTTGGGTTGTTTCCACCTTTTGGCTGTTGTGAATAATCCTGCAATGAATGTTGGTGTACAAGTATCAGTTTGAGTCTCTGCTTTCAGTTCTTTTGGATCTGTGCCCAGAAGTGGAATTGCTGGGTCATAGAGTAATTCTGTGTTTAACTTTTTGAGGAACCACCAAACTTTTTTTCACAGTGGCTGTACGATTTTACATTCCCATGAGCAATAGAAGAGGGTTCCAATCCTTGCCAACATTTGTTATTTTCTGTTTTTTCTGATAATAGGTGTGAAGTGGTATCTCATTGTGGTTTTGATTTGCATTTCCCTAATGGTAATGATGTTGAGCATCTGTTCATATGCTTATTGGCCATTTGTATATCTTCTCTGAAGAAATGTCTATTCAAGTCCTTTGCCCTTTTTAAGTTCTGTTGTTTGTCTTTGTTGTTGTTGAGTTGAGTTGCAGGAATTTTTTAAAATAGTCTGTATATTAAACCCTTATCAGATATATGACTTCCAATATTTTCTCCCATTCTGTAGGTTGTCTTTTCACTTTCTTGATAATGTCCTTGGATGCACACTTTGATGAAGTCCAGTTTATCTATGTTGTCTTTTGTTGCTTGTGCTTTTGGTGTTGTATCTAGAATCCATTGACAAACACAAGGTCCTAAAGCTTTACCCCTATGTTTTCTTCTAAGAGTTTTTTGGTTTTAGTCCTTATATTTAGGTGATTTACCCATTTTGAGTTAATTTTCGTATATGGTGTCAGGTAGGTATCCTAGGGTAGAATCATCACAAAGTTACAGTAAAGTGAGAAGAAAGATTTTATCAGGCATATGTTCCAGGAGGTAAAAGTGGGAAACAGACAAGCGTACTGCCAGAGCTATGTCTGCCTGAGTCTAAGGAGGGTTATAGAATCATCAGTATATACTGAATTACAAATGGGTAAAATCATTAAAACTTTCACCTTTTCACAGATTGGCTGAAAACTGCTAAATCACCATGATTCTACATTTTGAATTGTCTTTCTTAATAATTTTTGGTACAAATTTCAGTAATGACAGTCAGGAGGGTCTTCATTGGTCCAACAAATCTTACTATTTATTAAATGC